TAAACGAAGCGCTGTCCGAGTACCGAGTCACCACCTTCTCAGGTGAGTGCATAGTCCCTTTCATGAACATGATTTTAATACAAGTATTGATTGAAGTATTAATTATATGTTTATGTGCGAGTTAATTGATGTTGCTTGAAATTCGTGTTAAAGAACATACCTGATTATATTTGATAATTTAGGATAAAGAGTAGACCTAAATTAAAATGAGGAATATTGGGTAGTATATTCTTACGAGTACAAGTGAGTAAAACTCAGAGAATAGAAGTTAGTATATGTCACTTATCCGGGAGTATGGATTAGACATAGTCATTGTCCCTAGTCCGAGAATATGGATTAGGCATAATCATTCGTCGTTAATCCGAGAGTATGGATTAGCTATTGTCCCTAGTCCGAGAGTATGGATTAGGCATAATCATTCATCTTTAATCCGAGAGTATGGATTAGTCATTCGTCCCTAGTCCGAGAGTATGGATTTGGTAAATTCGTTCATTTCTGATCCGAGAGTATGGAGGAGGTAAAACGACTAATCTTAGGTCCGAGAGTATGGATAGCCTCGTTGCGAGGATCGACGGGGTGGGATAAGAGTTGTTTATATATATATATGTATGGTGAAATTGTATATTTTGTGAATTTTAAACTATATATATGGTATAACATTGTGGGATTGAAATCCCTATGTGCTCACCAGGTTTCCCAACCTGACCCACTCAGTTTATTTATATCACAGGTGTTGATATGAAGTGACATTACACTGAGAGATTTAAAGAGATGTAGACCACTAGTGTGAATAATTGTAAGTTCTGTTTATGCTTATGTTCCTGTATTAACGATGACATCCCAAATGTTTTAAAATGAAATAAATACGTTTCTTCGAAAATGTTTTAATAACGTATTTACCATGTTTTTCTGGGAACAAATTCCGCAACCTTTTTATAAAATGAAGTACTCTGATTTTTATAAAGCATAAACAAAATCGGTCTTTTCTGGCCGTGATTTTGGGGATGTCACAGTTGGTATCAGAGCATTAGTTTAAGCGAACTAGGAATATGGATTTATTTCTAGACTTAAACTTAGAATGCTAAGCGATGATTGTGAGGTGTGAGCACTAGATTATTTTAGGAATTGTGCCTAAAATGTTTTTATGTGCTAAATACTTGTGCCTGATATGCTGTTAGTTGTTCAGATCTATGGTCTGTTGCCGACCGGATCTGGAAACCTTATGTGTTTAGGATTCTAAACGTACGACTACGATATTAGAACTAGCATATAAACGTTTCGGAGTGATAAGGATGATTTAACCGTCAATCCTAAGTAAAGATCTAGATTCACCTTATTCGGTGTATAGATCAAGATGGCAAGAACCCGTAGCAGAAACGTGATTTTGGGGATGTCACAGTCGAGTAGGTCACTAAACCTTCGTGTCCAAAATCAAGTCTACTCGACGAGTTGGGCCTCCAACTCGCCGATTCCCAGGGCAAAACATGAAAAGCACTTGAATTTAAATATGTACCAGGAACCGGGTGTTACATAATCAATAGAGGATTTCGAAATCATAGTGATGATCAAATTTGAGTTTCGATGGAAACAGTTTCGTTGAACTTGATCTTGAACAGACTTTGAGGAAGAGGTATATCTTCATCTGATTGTCATTCAATGGAGAACCCGATTGAAATTTTACCCTAAAATTGATTTCGTCCCAAGACATCAAATACATGGAGAAACCGGTTGAAATTTTACCAAAAAACGATTCCGTATCGTTTAAGCATCAAATTCAACTTTTACATTCATTCAAAATCTCTGACATCAACATGTATAATGGGTATCTGTAACACCCCATTTATTTAATAAATAAATAATGAATTTAATGAATGAATCGCAACCCTGAATTTAATAATTATATAGCAAGGTGTTGGTTTTAGGAAGCCATATGCCATAAGTTGGATTATTCGGGTGTCAAAGTATAAATTCGATTTTTTTTGTAAAGATTTTAGAAGACATGGGCTAAAGAGTTAATTATGGACCTCATTTGAAAATAATTGTAGAGGGAGGGGGCACCTAGTAAAATATGTGACTTAATTTGTAAGGGGTTTACATGAATGGGGTTAAAAGGGTAAAATATGGGCTGGCTTTGAAAGAAAATGTGAAGGGAGGGGCTAATTGTGACATTATGGTAAAATGCTTAAGGTCGTCGGGTATTTAGTGAACAAACCTAACCCCAATTGACCATTTGCATCCGTATCCCTCCACCCTTATGTCTCCCACCGGCCGCCACCTCCTTCTTCACTTTTGGTAGTCGCCACCATCAAAGAAGCCCTCCTCAGCCACCCCTTTTTGGCATCACTGAGTCCAACAGCCCAGCCCGCTTGCTGCCTCGTCAAAAAACATCGTAGAACCACCAGAAACATCGCCGATGCATTCCTTCCTTTGTCGACAAAGACTGCCTCTTGGTTGTCGGGGACGTGGGGAGTTAGGGGATGTGAGTTGTTGCTATTGTCGTTCACCAATCAGAGTTGTGACCCCCTTTCTTTCCCCGTTATTCTTCTGATACGTTGTCACAGGTCCGCCGCTGCCGCTTGTGCAATGCGTTACTGCTCCGGTCATCGTTTGTCACCCGAGAGGTAGTCGAGTTCGTGTCTTACGTGGGTTCAAGGGCGTTGTTGTTTGACTGGGAACCAACAAAAACTACCGTCACCATCGTGAGATGGTGGCTGCCATCGTAAAATCACCATTTGTTGCCGCCAAACGCCATCAAATGGGTGGTTGGCTTCTCTTACCGAGCAATAGATGTGAAGGTGTGTGTGTGTGTTTGGTCGGAATTCTCGGAAAAGGCATCACCACCACTATGAGGTGGTGGCTGCCGCCACGCGCCACCACCGGCCACTACAAGGTGGTTATGTATGTGTGTGTTTAGCTTAGTTGTGTGTGGTGTTTATTTTTTAGTGTGTGCTTATTTGGGATTAAAGCTTTGTAAAATGTATTAGAAAGTGGAATAATGAAAAAGAAACCCTAACCACCACCGTGAAGTGGTGGCTACCGCCACCAGCCGTCGTTTCGGGTAGCGGTGTGCCTTGTTTGCATTGTGACTCGTTGGGATGTTTAGACAAACAGACTAAAACCCTAATGGGACTAATAAACCCTAGTGGGCCCAATGAAACCCTAATGGGCCCAATGAAGCCCTAATTAACCTAAAAGCCCAAACATGTGACTAATGGGCCTAATGAACCCTAATTGATCAAAAGACCTAGCTATTGGGCCTATTGGGCTAAGATGGGATTGAAAACCCTAATTAGGGTTTAGAAAACCGTAACATTGGATTTATGGGCTTGGACTTATCAGGACCCACATTTGGGCTATTGAAATGGAATTGTGTATTAAGCCCAATCACACCATATGATTTATTTAGAAGAGTGATGGACTTAATGGATTAACTCCTTAATGGGTTAAGTGAGAAACACTTAACCCTAATCGTCATTTTATGTGAAACCCTAGTTTCACTTGGGTTTATTGTTAGGCCTTTCTATTGGGCCTTGATGGTTGGGTTATTAATAGGTCATCCAAGATCAAACAAATGGACTAGTATAATTAATAGGCTTTGTGGTAAGGCCCATATGAAGGTTTGGGCCCAATTTTCCAAATTGGGCCATAGATGGGTCATAGTTTGGGCCTTAATGATTATATGATATTGGGTCATTAGAATGCCAAATGTTTGGACTGGACTAAATGGCTGGGCCTTAGAGTGAGACCATGTAAAGGTTTGGGCCCACTTTGGAAAATTGGGCCATGTGTTGGGCTTTGTCCCATAATTTACTGTTGGGCCTTTAGATTGGGCCTTGGTCTTTGATCAAGCTAAGATTGGGGTAGAGCAGTCTTTTACCCCAAACATGGACTTGTGGTGATGTATTGGAACCCAATTATAATTTTGGTGATGTTTGATATTGACAGATCGAGAATTTGTTATCCAACAGCTGGGATTGTATCTACGGGACTTCAACAGTGTGAGGTGAGTTACCTTCCAATAGAAATGGGTCTACGGCCACAATGCCGACCCACTTGTAGGAGTTGTTTGTTAGAAGATTGTCTTTGTGATAATTATCTGGTTTTCCATTATCTGTTATGTTTGTGTGCTAGGATGCTTTGTGATACATGTTAGCAGTAGTAAGGGTGAAATAGTCCCCGGATACCGGTTGAAAGACACCGAAGGGGTCGTCAGAACCCATGTATGCCTAGCAATATATTTATGATATGTTATATATGATAATGGTAGTAAGAGGGGAATAGTCCCCAAGTTCGGTCATTAGGACCAAATGGTAGGTCGGGCACACCATATATGCCTGACAGTATGCTTATGCTATGATATTATGTGGTAGTAGTAAGGGTGAAATAGTCCCCGTAGCCGGTTGAGATAAACCAGAGGGTAGGTCGGCACCCTAGAATGGCTTGACACAAGTTGGTCACCACCCCAGAATTGCTTGACATGGGTAGGTCGGGCACCCCAGAATCACCTGACAGGGTAGGTCAGCACCCAAAAAATGTTTGACATGGGTAGGTTGGGCACCCCCCCGACAGTATATATGTTGTGTGGTATATGGTATGATGGGGGAACTCACTAATCTTTGTGCTTACGGTTTTCAGTTTTGGTTTCAAATACTTCGTTTTTAAAGGAAAGGAATCGACTCGATCACAACGCATCACACTAAGTTTTCTGCACATGAGATCTTTAAGATTACACTCTGATATTATTTTTATGATTACATGTTTGTCTATTGATACATGGGCTTTGACATGAGATGTTATTATGGATGCTTTTATACTTATGATTTTATAATAACTTATTTAAAAATAAAATTTTGGCCTTGAATTTTGGGATGTTACAGTATTTATACAACTCATACCAAATTCACCCCATAACATCAATCCTCAAAATAAATCAGTTACTTGTTTATTTGCATAATCGATCCAACACAGATCATAAAACCACTCACAAGAACTTCAGTACCATGACGAATTCAAGGTATTACAAAGGTGTATTCAATCACTTTGATATTTATGGAAACGGTATGATCTCTCCATCAGAGCTACAACGATGTGTCAGATTGATATATGATGAAGAGATTTTACTCGAAGAGGTTGAAGTTGTTGTCGAATTGCCAAATAGAAACCACGAAAATTTGGGGTTTGAAGATGAGAAGCTTGAGGACTTGAGGACAACCTTTAGTATGTATGAAATGGATGGAACCGATTGCATTACTCCCAAGAGCTTAAACCTGATGTTGAATTGACTTGATAAGTCGAGAAGTGTAGATGATTGTGTTCATATGCTTAATCGATTTGATCTCAATGAAGTTGGAGTTCTTGTTTGTAACTGTTCTTAAGGCCAATTGTTTGTAACTCTTCTTAAGGCCATGGACATTTTTTTGAAATTAAACTTTAAGAAAGGTCCACCACTTAATCAAAAATTATATTTTATTTCATGATTGTTAAAAAAACTCTCACATGTGTGTGCTTGTGGTTGTCTACGTATGTTGCTTAAATAGCATCCTACTTCACATTCAACTGAAATTACCACATTACCTGTTTAAGTATGTGTTGATGTTTGTACCAAATTTAGAGAATTAACATTCTTTTCCTTCATCAATGACCTTTCATTTTATCTTCACCCAAAATCCTTTAGTTAATATCCATTTTACAAAATTACCCTTATGTTCTTCTCACTACGTCAACTTCCCCCAAAAATTAAAATAGGTTGTTAAAAATGGTACTTTCAGTTAAGGGCTTTTATGTGGGATAATGTGGATGGGTGTATGTTTCTTGAAGAACCTTATGTTCACTTGATTAATTGATTTTAAACTCAAATGTCATTTTAGTTCCATTATTACTTTCGTTGTTTAATATAACAACGCTTCAAAATTCCAAATTAATAAGAAAATAGAGTCTTGTATTTGGAGTCTGTGTGTATAATAGATACTTTAACATTATAACAAGTTGGCATATTATGTAAATAAAAACAGTAAAATTTGTGATGATTTATATCGGTATTGACTTTACATTACTGATAGTTTGACATAATTAGATCAAACTTGAAATCATAATTTTTTTAATGTTGAAGATTATATATGTAATAATTGCATTAGTGGTTGAACACATCTAAAAAAGTCACAAAACAAGCTTACTATGCTTGAGATAAAGTTCAAACAGGAAGAAGACACCCAATTTTAAGTTGAATCTCACCTTTAATTTTTGGCTTTACGTCTCTTTCTTCAGTCGATATATGGAATGGCCGATTGCATCATCTATAAACCGTGTGATCGACAAAGATGAAACCCATATTTCTTCACTATAAAGTTTGAAATTTGATGTGTACTCGAGGGAGATGTTGTGGAAAAGGGACTTAACTGAATGTACTTGATGTGTAATCGATGGAGACCTCTGCTTTTGATATTTAATTGGAAGGTGTAGATGCAACTTTCTATGAAAAATGTAGACGAAGGAAGGTTGGTCGTTGTTACCGGAAAGTAGACCGACGACATGTTTTCACCGCCTAAATGGAAGGATGCTTCGAAATTTTTCTGTCAATACTCAATACCAAGAAGGGGGATTTGATAAATCAATAAATATATGATATATTTACACATATATGATATATTTACTTATATATTGGGTTTTATCGTGTTTACGCATGTATTATCAATATATTATCAGTTTATCATCATTATATTTAGACTTTAAATGTTTATTATTTTTATAGATATATTTGATAAATCTATAAAATGATAAATGAATAATTTTTAATGGTAAATTAGTCTTTTATAAGATTAGGGATCAAAATCTCAAATATATATATATATATATATATATATATATATATATATATATATATATATATATATATATATATATATATATATATATAAAGACTATTCGACGTATAAAAAAGTATAAAAAGTATAAGGACTTACAAGTATAGAGACGATTCCACTTATAAATTTTTTAATAGTTACTTAAAACCAGAAGTCAAATAATGTAAGTTACCGTTTATATTATTATATATTTGAATAATTAACATTATTAATTTATTTTAATTTAGTATTTTAATCTGATTTAAAAAAAAACCATTTAGTTTTTGTATATCTTTTACATGATTGATTATAAAAATATTTACATACTTTCAACCGGCTCATATTTTCCAAACAAATTCGAAAGAAATTTCGTAACTTAAAAAAATATTTTGAAACATAAATTTAATATGTGAAATATTTATTGAACCGTAATTAAAATTGAAATGTTATTATTTCCCTCTCCCACTAATTATTTATGTATTTTTAAATTAATCATTAAATATAAATGTTAATTATGTTTAAATTTACATATTCTTTATTCTTTTTAATTAAAATTATTTCCTTTTATATATTTAGAAAACAACTTGGATTATACCGTTGTTAAACAACAATGAATCAACGATTATAATTTTAGATAAATAAACATTGTCTCAAGTATATTAATAAATAGTTTAATATATTTATTTGAACCAACGATTATAATTTTGCATAAATAAAAAAAACATAAATTTCTTAATTAATAATAATTTATTAAAAATAACTGAATGATAATTATGAGTTTTTCGTATAATTTTTTTTTAATTGTGGTTTCAACAACTATAACTTACACCCTGTTCCCTAGTTGCAGCAAAGAAAAGAAGAGAAGAGAAAAGAAAGTATGGAGAGAAAAGAAGAGAAGAAAAAGGAAAATAAATTTGCTTTTTATGTTCCCGAGTTGGAGAGAAATGGAAGAAAAGTTAAACATTTTGTTCTTTCTCTCAAAATCCTTCCAAATCGGAAGGAAAGTTAAAAGGGAAAGTGATCCCTCCATTTTCTTCCACTTCCCTCTTTTAATCAAACTCGGGAACACCAATTTCTCTTACTTTCCTTTCACTTCCACCAATTTCTTTTCTTTTCTCTCTTTAAATCGAACTCGGGAACCGAGTGTTAGTAAAATAAAATAAAATAAAATAAAACAAATATATGAAATTGTATTAACCTAAAAAGTAAAAACGTCCAAACAGGAAAAGAAGAAAAGAACGTGACTCATCGAGAAAAAAATAAAAAAGGAAAAAGAAACCCGGAGAAATAACCCAACCCATCTTCGAACCCTACCAACAACGGCAGGACTATTTCTTGTTGCACTGCGTTTTCACTACATACCTCGATTCACGGTTTATTGTTGCTGCTTGTTGGTCAAATTTGTCACCAAAATTCCAAATTAAGGTACGGAATTGTTTCTTGCTATGCATTATTTTTGATTCTTGCTGTTATGAAATCGATTTTTTGTTGGATTTCCCCTGTTCTTGCTGTACAAAATCCAGCAACGTATGTTCCCTTTGTTTATCTCGGCAACTGAGTTTGGAACCCAAAATTGGATCAGTTAGTAGCTTCTCATGGTGTTGTGTAGTTGCAGCATAGTTTGATCGTTATCATATTTTGCTGATTGAGTTCATTTGCCTGCTTTCCTTACCTCAAAGTTTCGATGTGGTACTTAATTACTTACGTGAGGGCTGAGACCCTCGACACATGCAATAGATAAGAACATCAGAACATGTCTTTGAAGTGGCCTGAATTCGTTTGACTCAAACTGCTTCCTCTTCCAGCTCGCTGTGCACTTTCTTTCAATTCTCCTGCATCTCCTAAAGTCTAAACTTGTATGTTTTTAATTAAACCTTTTTGTAGTTATCACCTTCACTCTTTTGCTTGTTTGCTTGTTGGTACCTGGTAGTTAAGACTCAAGTTGCTTGAGTTCCCATCCATTTTGTTTGTATTGGCTTTAAATTTTAATCTCGTTTCTATGAAGCTTATGTTGGTGATCTGCTCTAATATCTTGAAGCAAACTCTTTGATATGGATGCTGTATTTTATCTGACATAACTAACAGATACAATACAAAGAAAACTGAATATGTTGAAAAAAATATAAACTTGAAAGTGAAAAATGGGACTAGTATCTTATTCATATGCTTTGGCTGAACCTTGAATCTTTAAAGTGTACATATATCTAATCGGACAGATCTAATCTGTTAATTTGTGTAATTGTAGGTGTAATGTAATGTAATGTGTTCATTTAATCGATTTAATGTGCTGATTTTGTTGGTTTTACACACAGAGCTCCATAATCATCTGCAAGTGTGATTAAAGTGAAAAATGGCTGCAAAAGGTGGAAGGAAGAATCTGAAGAGGGCTGTTAATGATGAGACATTAAGTCTTCAACCAGGACAAAGCATAATGCAAGTTGTTTCTCTTCGAGGTTCCAATCTAATTGAGGTTATTCACCACATCTTCATCACTTGTTCTTTGTCAAATTAAATGCATGACTGATTGATTTATAAGTACACAGATAATTGATGCCAAAGGAGCCAAAGCTTTGGCGATTTTCCCAGCTAAATTTCAGAAAAGCATGTGGATAAAACGAGGTGTGACTTCATCTTTCCAACTTTAGCATTGTACTTTGAAAAATCTATCCAATTATAGCAGTGAAAATATAGTGCTATTTCTTGCATTTACCCCCCATAGAAATGGTCAATTTGGTGATGAATAAATGTTGCAGGTAGTTTTGTGGTGGTTGATGATAGTGGGAGAGAAGAGGCTGTTGAGTCTGGAAGAAAAGTAGCTTGTGTTGTTCTTCAAGTCCTTTTTCATGAACAAGTTAGAGTGTTACAAAAGTCTCCAGAATGGTTAGTTTGTTTATTATTAACTTATGACTTATGATGAGAATTAATTATCAATAAAAATTCTTCATTTTATTATTGCAGGCCAGATATATTTAAAACAGCCATAGTAGACACCTCTAATGGAAAGTCTGAGAAAAGAACACAGGAAAATGAGGAGTTGGAGTCTAGTGAAGATGATGGGATGCCACCATTGGAAGCCAACACAAACAGAAGACCTGCAGAATTGCGCTCAGATACAGAGTCTGATTCTGAGATAGAAGATTTTTAAGCTGTGTAATTATTATGCTACTATCATGATTCTTGTTTTCTTCTTTATTGATTATTACAGTTTTGATCTCTTTTCTTAACTACCAAAATAGAATGATTTTGAGGAACGCTTCTCTTTGCATGCTGTTTTCTTCATTTTGCAGCATGGTGCAAGGTTATGGGAGGGTCACCAAAGTCAAACATAGCATTTTTAGAGTTTTAACACTACAAATTCTTCTATTTATAATCGACATTTTGCATAATCTAAAGCATAGTTCAACTTACGGAATAGATTAAAGGTGGAAGCATTTTCAATTTTATGGTTAATTTCAATTTAATTGAGAAAAAAGATGACAAGCATCCTAAAAAATCTACATGTCGTCACTTCAATACCTGGAATATGCACAAAAAAAAAAAAAATCCTACTATTTGGATTCTGTTAACAAATTGTTAACAGTTTATGGGTTGCTACAAAAAGTAAAAGTTGGTTTAATCTTGAATGATCAAATATTACATTTCAGTTAAGGAAATAATATCATATTGTTCAGAATTTTGCAACATGGAATTGCACGAGCATCTTTGATCGATGTCGTGTTGTTAAGTTTGATTTATGTTCTTACCAAACACACATTCATCAAATTTGAGCATCTGAATCAAATTCAAATATCTGATTAGATCATAGACATCTGATTATCTGAACCATTTAGCTAAAAAATGAATGGATAAGAGACATTTGAACCATTTATGTAGCTAGGACTCGAACCGGTTTATTAGAGAAATAAAAAATGTTAGTTTCAAGTTTTACATCTAAGCCAGTAGGATTATGCCACGCGGTCAAATGGTTTTCGCAAGCTGCTTACCAAAATATTTGCCCCATTTTCCATTTCGAGACATGGATGGACGATGGATCATATTAAGGTGAGGTGACGTAGCAATCACTTTGCAAGGGAGAGGTTATTGGCTATTGGAATTCACACAATCGGCTACTGGAAATTGAGAACCAAATCGAGGGCTAGAGAATCCATGGCGTCTGTTTCTGTATTCAGAGGCTTTCTCCATGGCCGTACCGTTCCTCTTTTCCCGCACCAGTCCCAGGTTTTAAGCGTATAATAAGTTGATTATATTTGCAACTGTGTGATTAAATAGTTGAGTTGTATGGTGTAGTTTGGGGTAGCTTAACTCTAATTAGAATTTCTTTCCACTAACTTTCAAACCGATTGCATTACGTGCGCAATTTGGGGTAACTGAGCTCTAGTTTTCCCTCGGTTGAGTTTATAACTTCATTAGAAGTTGTTTGCACGATTTTTCACATCGATTTGTGCTCAATTCCTAATTTCAATCTTTAGACGGATTGAATTTCCCTCAATCATATTACACACTCTTACTAATTGATTGCTCAGCTATACATACTCTCAACATAATAAAGACTATTCGCTTAACTGAGAGTAAAACATGCCCTTTTCACCAATAGGATCGTACTGATTTAATTGTCAGGTTTTGTTTGTGACAGCCTATGCCTTTTTAAATGCATTTGTGAGCAAAGATATATGACTAACAAGTTTTAAAGATGTTAAGATGTGGTTCACAAAGTTATGTATTTGTTTCTTTTAACTATGTCATAGGTATTTACTACTGAGAAGAAAATTAATATGTTTAGGTTGATCTTATGAGAAAGAATAAAATGACATTGTGTGTGTGTGTATGCATGCAACACTTCTCTAGTTTGTAGATTAATAATATATTTGCCTTTCACTCCCAGTTACCTGTTACAAGCATACTGATTGGCTCAAAGAAGCTTGAGTATCGATCTAATGGGTTGAGACTCTATGCAAGATATTCAGATTCACAATCAGCACGAACACAAGATCTTTTTACTTCTCGACTTCAAGGTACTTAAGTTTTGGTTCTTCATATATCTTACACAAATACACTTCTAGCTTCTTAATCAGTGCTAGCAACTTCCATCATTTTATATGATGCTATACTGAAATAATCAGCAAGTAAAAGTAAAAAATTAACCTTTTTCCCCTTTCAGAAAGTATGGAGAAGTTGCCAAAACTTGTGGAGGATATTGTCCAGACATCTATCAATACAGGTCCTCGTGGAGCTGTAAGACTAGCCCAAGGTATTCAAGCAGTCATAGGTGTTGGCAGCGAGTGGGTAGCAGAATTATCACAGGTATATACACTTTTTTTCAACTTGTAATTTTCACTGTAAATCATATATAATATAACTGTTCTATATCTGTAAAGTGTAAACCCTGTTCTCTAATGACATGATGGAATGATTTAATTGCAGTCAAGAAATTCACCTAGTGGAATACCATCACAACTTCAACTTGGATTGCTATCACCTCTTTACCTTCGCAAATTGTTTGAACGCTTAGGGGCTACCTATATCAAATTAGGTCAGGTATGTGTGTTTTTGTTAATTCTCATGTATATAAAGACAGATGACTCATTGTTGATAAGCTTTTTTGGTGAATGAATCCTCATGTATATATTTTTGTACTTTGTAGTTCATAGCATCAGCTCCCACATTGTTTCCGGAAGAATACGTGCAAGAATTCCAGTATTGTTTTGATAGAGCTCCAGTTGTTCCTTTTGAAGAGATTAAGAGCATTCTACGTGAAGAACTAGCAGGGCCTATAGACAGTATCTATGACTACATTGATCCCACACCACTTGCCTCAGCCTCAATAGCACAGGTTTGATGATATCATTTTCTGTGAAAATAAAACCTGCAATATTCTTTATGTTACATTTTGAAAAGAAAAAAAAGGAACAATCTTTTAGGTACATGCAGCAAGGCTTAAAGGGTCACAAGCAGATGTAGTAATAAAAGTGTTGAAACCCGGAATTGAAGATGTATTAGTTGCAGACCTCAACTTCATTTATGTTGTTGCTCGCATTGTAGAGTTCTTGAATCCTGATTTCAGCCGTGCATCACTGGTATATGATTTGTAAAATCTACAAATTATTTTATAGGATTTATTTATTTATTGTAATGTATGCATTTTGTAAAGTAGGTTGCTATTGTGAATGACATAAGAGCATCGATGCTTGAAGAAGTTGACTTCAAGAAAGAGGCAGCAAATATAGAGTCCTTCAGAAGCTACCTAGAATCAATGGGGCTTACCAGGCAGGCTACAGCTCCTAGAGTGTATCCAGAATGCAGTACAAAACGAGTTCTAACAATGGAGAGACTTTATGGGGTCCCACTTACTGATTTGGACTCAATAAGTTCTCTTGTTTCAAGTCCTGAAACCAGTCTTATAACTGCCCTTAACGTATGGTCTGTCTGAGTTCAGTTGCCCTACTTTTAATGTCTTTTGAAAATGCAGATGATGGTATTTTTTACAATGATAAATTCTGTGCAGGTTTGGTAGTTTGTTGGGATGTGAAAGTTTCCATGCAGATGTTCATGCTGGTAACTTATGGTTATTACGTGATGGTCGTATTGGGTTTCTTGATTTTGGTAGGTACTCTTTGTTAAAAGACCAAATTACCCCCATATATATGTACTGATGATAGGCAAAATTTACGGGTGGGTGGGTTGCAGGAATCGTGGGACGAATATCACCAAAAACATGGGGTGCGATGGAAGTGTTTTTGGGTTCAATTGCAACTGAAGAATATGAATCGATGGCATCTGCGTTGATTGAAATGGGTGCTACAAACACGGATGTGGACTCTAGGGCATTTGCTAGAGATTTGGAGAAGATATTTTCTTCCATACAGGTACGTTTTTAACCATAGTTAAATCATATTAAACTAGCTTTTGACAATTAAATGAAATTAAGGGACGACTATTTTAAATTCAGGATTTGGATACAGAAATTGTAGTTGCAACAGCAACCCGAACAAACACAAATGCAACTGCTATATCGGCCAATTTAGTTGTTGATGAGAGGCAGATGAATGCACTGTTTCTTGATGTGGTAAGCATAAATAAATAACTTTTTGTTTGTGGGTTATATAGATAATACATATATATTTAGTTATTGATGTGAATTGTGAATATATATAGGTACGGGTTAGTGAGTCATACGGGTTGAGATTCCCTCGGGAGTTTGCACTTTTAATGAAACAGCTTCTGTATTTTGATCGCTACACTCGGTTGCTAGCTCCCAACATGAACATGCTTCAGGATCAAAGAATCTCAATTGCCTCAAATCAAAGAACAACCAATCCCAACATCTACTAAATGTTTACTTGTTCCTTCTATATTTGTATATATAGCAATAGTACTCAATTACATACATACATATACATTGAGCAGCATTAAGTAATAAAATATAAATGTAACCTTACCTTGGGTAAATCTAGATCCCAAACTGATATAGCAAACCTCAGTTGTGAATTAACTTATAAATTCTTGTGATTTTTTTAGTAAATACCCAATACATTTTGGCTCGTGACCGAAGATCCCATGCACAAAGACCAAGGGACTCTTTGCATGGCTAGCCTAAAACCATCATTGTCCGACTTTAAACCCTAAGGCCACATTTGTCACGTTGACAGGAAATGACTTAGCATGTATCGTGATTCGCGTTCGTTGGATTGAGATTGTCATTGATGTTAATGGGTACAAAAGTTATAAATTTTTTTTGTCATGTCCAAAAAGGTGGAAGAAGGTGAGATGTAATTGCGCTCCCCATCATCGAAATATCATTAGAAAGTTTGTGTAACCCATATAATCTAGTTATGTTCCATGTAACAAACATAAAGGCAATCAAATTCTTTCTCATTTAACAAACACAAATTGGTGTATATACAAAAAGTGAAAAAGGCAAACCAACAGTTCTCCAATGTTCATTTGCATTTAGGTGTATAAAAAGCCTCCCTAGATAGAAAATTATATACTAGAAAACTGAGCCGGTTTAAGTTCATTATGTACCGGTTTGATTAAGGTTCTTAATCGTTTATTTGGTATGACGGAATGAAATCACCAAAGAATGGAATGAACAAGTAATAGAATGAAGGTCATGGAATGAATAATTACATTTTGTTGTCATGTTTAGTTGATTTGAAAGAATGAAGTGAGTTTACACATTTAGTCAATGAAGTATTTTTTTGGAACTATACTACAACATAGTTTGGTGAATTTACACATTTAGTCAATGAAATATTTTTTTTGCTCAATTGGTTCTTACGTTAGACAATACAGACTAATTAAGGGTTTAGGGGAAATTGTATCCGGTTTATAGGTGACATGCTTTTGGCACTGTAGCACAACAAAGTTTGACGAATTTACACATTTAATCACTCAAGTAACCGACTGTTTCTGTATTAGGTCATATATTTGTGTAATTGATAGGTAATATTCAACTTTAATGATCTATCACACATAAAAAAATGTTGAGGGATTAAATGTATAAAATGATC